AGAGTTTGAGGGTCCTTCTAACATTTAACTCATAAAATTCCCTGCAGATATTTCTCTGTAAGAAAATAATCTAGAAAAATTGGGGAAAAGGATTATACAGAAAAATGCTCATTTCAGCTTTATTTATAACAGCCTTCAAATTGGAAACCACCTAAATGGGATGAATATCTCCATGGTATGCTCACTTTATGGTATATTATGCTTACAAAGCATTTAAAACTTGGAAAATGTTTATTAAAAAGTGAAGTGAAAAAGTCAGTGCATAAAATGCTGCATAAAATATAATCACAATTACACAGAATAAGTTAAAAGAATAAAAACTTATCAAGTGAGGAGACACAGAAGTGAGACACAGCACTATTACAGGGATTGCTTTTAGATAATAGGATTCTTAGTGATTGATTTAAAAATATTTTGTTTGTCGACTTTTGCATTTCTTTGATTTTCAAAAATGTTCACATTGAGCACACTAAAACAAGATGTGTGTATTTCTTTACACCAGGATAAAATCAACTTTTGTGAACAACCAAAGGAGAGAATGTCCTTGCTTAAACCTGGACCCACAGCTTCCAGTTTTCACGGGATCTTCTGAGATAGCTGCTGTCTTACTGAGGTCACCATAGTGTTCGAGTAACCAAATCCAGTAGGCACATCGTGCCCTAATTTTCCTCAACCCTCTAGCAGTATTTAATGTGGTTAATCAGTCTTTCTTGACACGCTATCATTTTTTTCCTGGAAACCCGCTTGCTTCTGTTGCCACCCTTGACCCTTACCTCCTTCTCAGTTCTTGTTCATTTCTTCCTCTTGTACCAAAACTCTAAATGTTACACTCTCCTCCTAGTTACACTTGCTTTTGTCACCAAAGGGGTCCCATCTGCTCCCCTCTATATTCAGACACCTTTTTGGTTTATGGATCTGCCCGTCTCTCCCTTGTAATCACTTGTCTAGCTGCTTCCTTGACGTCCTTGTTTGGATGTCCCCAAAATATTTCAAACTTATATCCAAAATGAAATTCTTCAAGGTAAGTCTATGACATAGAGACTAAATGAAGGTCCATGTGTCAAGTGATGTAGTAAACATTGGTGTAATATAATTTTCTTATTTTTTCAATTTAAAAATGTGTGAAAATAGAAACTCTAATCGTTTCTTCCTGAATCTCAATGGATCATATTGCTTACTCCTTAAAATACAAATTACCTTCTTAAAGACCAGTGTTTGCATTGCCAAAATCGGAGACAAAAATTCCAGGCTCTAATAAGACTTGCAAAATAAAAGGATTTTTCTACTGTCACTTTATTTTATATCTTATGCAATGTGAAGCAACATTTATATAGTACTCACATTATTTACAATCCCCTGTATATGATGCTTTTTAGGTAAGGTCCTAGGCCATTTGAACACCACTCATCCGCTCCCACACCAATGTTTATAGGAGAAGGACACAGAAAGTTTTGACTGTAACCAATGACTACATTAAAATATTTTGGGGTTAAAAAAATCATTCCAGTGAGCGATGAACAGAATTATTTTCTCATTGGATTGAGTTCAATGAAAGGAGCCCCCCATGATTTTTTTTTTTTAACCAATTAAACATGACAACATAATTTTTGGACAGGTTTTTGTTACAGGGACTTTGTGACATACCTATTCAAGTTCTAGAGGTTTGCACTATGTCTTCAAGGAGCTGAAACTATCTTGATGTATTTGTTAATTACATGTTTCTATTTCTTCCAAAAATAAAGGAAAACATAATTACATGCTGAGTGTTGTTCAGCTTTGGGATTCTAAAAAGGTAATTTGAACCAGATTCCAGATTTCTGTAGTCTCTTGTTACTCAAAATGTGTTGCATCAACTAGAAACATTGGCTTCACCTGGGGCTGTATTAGAAATCACATTCTCAGGCTCCACCCAGACCTGACGAATCAGAACCCACATTTTGAACAAGATCCCTTTGTGACTTGCTTGCACACTAAATTCTGAGAAGCTGTGATCTAGAAGCGTAAGCCTTTTGACTTCTTAAAATCTAGCTTCATATTGCTATCATTAACTCAAATTCTATGTATTATGATTCTGACTACAATCATAGTAGCTTTTACTTAATAAAACATCAGACTGAGCACAGTGTAATCCTAAGCCCTTTGAGAGTCCAAGGTGGGCGGATCATCAGGTCAAGAGATCAAGGCCATCCTGGCCAAGATGGTGAAACCCCATCTCTACTAAAAGTACAAAAATTACCTGGGCGTGCTGGCACACGCCTGTATTCTCAGCTACTTGGGAGGCTAAGGCAGGAGAATTGCATGAACCCGGGAGGCGGAGGTTGCAGTGAACCAAGATCACGTCACTGCACTTCAGCCTGGCAACAGAGCGAGACTCCATCTCAAAAAAAACAAAAACAGAAACAAAAAAACGTAAGCTTAGAAATTAATAAATTCAGTAGAAAGAAAAATTATTTAAAATTAGAAAAAAGGTTTGAACAGATATTTCACTGAAGAAAACATATGATGGCAAAAGCAAGTGAAAACATGTACATCATTAGTCATTAGGTGAATGCAAATTAAAACAAAAATAAGATGACACTCCACAACTATTAGAATTGCAATTATAATACTATTAACCACAACAATAATACCTAACAATATTAAGAGATATTGAGGTTGTAGACTCTCTACTAGTCTAGTACTCTTATATATTGCAGGTGAAATTGCAAAATTGTATAGTCACTTTGGAAAACAGTTTGGCAGTTTCTTTTTTTAAAACTTTTATTTTAGGTTTGGGATTACGTGTGTAGGTTTATTGTATAGACAGACTTATGTCGTGGGGGTTTCTTGTGCAGATTATTTCATCTCCCAGTTACTAAGTCTAGTACACAGTAGTCATTTTATCTGATCCTCTCCCTACTCCTACCCTACACCCTCAAGTGGAACCCGGTGTCTGTTGTTCCCTTCTTTGTGTCCACGTGTTCTCACCATTTAACTCCCACTTATAAGTAAGAACATACTGTATTTGGCTTTCTATTCTTGCATTTGTTTGCTAAGGATAATAGCTTCTAGAGCCTCTAGCTCCATCCATGTTCCTGCAAAGGACATGATCTCATTCTTTTTTTATGACTGCATAGTATTCCATGTTGTGTGTGTGTATGTGTGTGTGTGTGTGTGTGTGTATAAATGTGGTGTATATATATATATATATACGTACCACATTTTCTTTATCCAGTCTACCAATGATAGGTAAGTAGGTTGATTCCATGTTGCTATTGTGCATAGTGCTGCAATGAACATACATGTGTTCTTTTCAATAGAATGATTTATATTCTTTTGGGTATATACCCAGTAATGGGATTGCTGGGTGGAATGTTCTGTTTTTAGCTCTTTGAGGAATTACCACACTGCTTTCCACAATGGTTGAACAAATTTACACGCCCACCAACCGTATATATGTGTTTGCTTTTCTGCATAACCTTGCCAGCTTCTGTCATTTTTTGACCTTTTAATTTTTTTGAGACAGAGTCTCACTCTGTCACCCAGGCTAGAGTACAGTGGCATGATCTTGGCTCACTGCAAGCTCTGCCTCCCGGGTTCAAGCGATTCTCATGCCTCAGCCTCCTGAGTACCTGGAATTATAGGCACATGCCACCATGCCCTGCTAATTTTTGTATTTTTAGTAGAGATGGGTTTCACCACATTGGCCGGGCTGGTCTCGAACTCCTGACCTCAGATGATCCATCCAGCTCGGCCTCCCAAAGTGCTGGGATTATAGGCATAAGCCACTGCTCCTGGCCCTTGACTTTTTAATAATATAGTTTGGTAATTTCTTATAAATATAAACTCATGCTCATCATATGATTCCACAATCCTACTCATAGGTATTTATTCAAGCGAAGTGAATTTATGTCATACAAAAGCTCATAAATGTTTATAGCAGTTTCATTGGTAGTCACAGAAACATGAAAACAACCCAAATGTTCTTTGACTAATGCATGAACAAACACTGGTGTATCCATATAATACAATGCTATAGGACTATAAAAAAGAACAAATTACAGATATACACAAAAATGTGGAGGAATTCACAATACATTACACATTATACTAAATGAATAAAGCTACACATTTGTATGACATTCTGGAAAAGATAACACTATGGGCATAAAGAGCTGACAGTAGTTGCCAGAGATTCAGGATAGGTGGAGATGGCGTATTTGAATATAAAGAAATAGCCTTTGTTGTGTATCACTGGAGTTACTCTGTATCCTGATTGAGAAAGTAGCTACATGACTCTAGGCATTTGCCAAATCTCATAAAACAGTCTGGGTGCAGTGGCTCATGCCTGTCATCCCAGCACTTTGGGAGACTGAGGTGGGAGGATTCCTTGAGCCCAGTTAGAAATCATCTTATGCAACATAACAAGACCTCATCCCGGCTAAAATACAAACAAACAAACAAACAAGCAAAAAATTAGCCAGCCATGGCTAACTATGATTGGCACACACCTATAGTCCAAGCTACATGGGAAGCTAAGTCAAGAGAATCACTTGAGCCCAGGAGTGTGAGACTATAGCGAGCCATGATTGTGGCCACTACACTCCAGCTTGAGCAACAGAGTGAGATCCTGTTTCAAACAAATAAACAAAAACTGTGTATCAGAAAAAGGAGGCTGAGCATGGTGGCTCATGCCTGTAATCCCAGCACTTAGGGAAGGTGAGGATGGAGGATGGTTAGAGCATAGGAGTTTGAGACCAGCCTGGGCAACATGGGGAAACCCTGTCTCTACAAAAAATGCAAAATTAGCCAGGCATAAAGGCACACACCTGTTAGTCCCAACTACTGGGGTGGGAGAATGGCTTGAGCCCAGGAGGTGGAGGTTGCAGTGAGCTGAGAACATGCCATTGTATTCCAGTCCCAGTGACAAAGAAAGACCCTGCCTCAAGAAGAAGAATAAGGAAGAAGAAGGAAGAGAAGAAGAAGGAGAAGAAGGAGGAGGAGGAGGAGAAGAAGAAGAAGGAGGAGGAGGAGGAGGAAGAGGAGGAGGAGAGGAAGAGGACACTTTAATGTATGTAAACTAAAAGTAAATTTATAGGAATCATTTATTATTTGCAGTGCATGCTCTTTATTCTTGAGTCAAAGAGACATAGCTTAAGCAAAGGTTTGATCAGTGATGTCACACAATGGCAATTGTGACTGCAAGTTCGTGCCCCTTTATCCCTTATCACCCTTCCAACCACATCGCTGTGATTGAGTACAGACTGCGTCCTTTGTTTGTTTTCATCCTCCCCCTTTGATTACTCTCTCTTTCCTGAGCTGTATTCTCCTTCCCTGTAAATAAAGTATGACCTGTATAACACAAAAGGAAATGGGAGCATAAAAATTTGCATACTGTAATTAAACTGCTGTATCATGAGCTTTCTTTCTTTGGTTATGTTGGAATGAAAACAAAGGTATACCTCTGAATCAGAGTTTGGAGTGTTATCCCTGGAAACTGGAATGAATAAAATAGGCCAGGAAGCCTTGTGTGCCTTACAACCTTAATGCAGCCATGTGCTGTACTGTTTATGGGTAAAGCACCTGGCACCACAGTCCTTCCTGGACTGGCCTTTATCTCAGGTAAGTGGGGCCTTTCCGGTTGAATCTCTTCCAGACAGGTGTGCAGGCAAAGATGATAGCCTGGCCCATGGCTGAATGGTTGCTTCTCATCCATGGAATTCATTTTCATATTTGAAATGCTGCATAATGTGGTGAATAAAGCACTAAACTGGAAATCCAGGATATACAGTTTGTGAGGACTTGCCGACTGCACTTACATGATCATCTTAACAGCTTAATGCTTGAATTAATTCAATCAGTATAATGGTTGGTAATTTGTAATAAAAATTCTGACAACTTATACACGGCTTAAATTTATCAAGTGCTTTTATGCAGTTTAACTCTTTTAATCTTCAGGTTCAGATGGGGAAAAAAAAACCTGACTGAGTGAGGTTTGGTGCCCTGTTTCTTATAGAACAATTACCTCATCTTTCCCTCCATATTCATCCTGTGAAGACACTGTAAGTAACAAAGCAGATTTGATCTTGGACCTTTCACGATCCTGAATCATAACATTCAAGACCTTTTTCTTTTTCATACTTAGTATTTTTTTAAGATTATAGATGAAGGTAAAGGTCACTCAGCCTGTTAATTGCGTCTTTAGAAAATTGAGCCATAAGCTTGTAAAACATAACTCCATGAAATTGGAATGTGTTGATGCTCATGACATGTATATAAGGGGATGAATTGCTTCATAGATATAGTGACAGGTGAGGGAGAATAAATAGAGGCCGTTTATGAGGTACTTTGAATTCTTTAGGGTCAATAAAATGATTACAAAGTCACATTGGTCAATGAGACATAAAAAGAAACTAAAAATAAAATGGGGCACAATTACAGTTTGGGTGATGGGTTAAAGTCTAAGTTAGGCATATTGGAGTGGAAAAAATTAAAATGATTGATTAATCGTAAAGCTAAATTAGAAATGTAGTTGTGAACTTCATGACCTTGTATAGAAGTCATTTTTTTTTTCAGTTCTTTCTGTCTTTCTGTCTGTCCCCCAGTGCTTATGGACAGTGAGTGGCCACATCTTATGCCCTAATACTATTTAGTTCTTGAACTACAGAGAACCAAGGCTCCTTGGAGAACAATTGATTCCATGTCTTGGGTGTCTTGGGATGACGCAAAATTTGGATAGATTATGAGCTGGAGTGGCTGCCAGAAAACAAGGAAATTGTGGCAATGTGTAGAGCTGTACTGAAAGGACAAACAAGATAGCTTAACAAGACCCCCACTAGTCAAGCTGCAACAATTTGAGCATCCAAAGAAAGAAACTATAACTAGCTGGAATGAATTGAGTCTATAAGAAAGCCACGACATTCAAAGAACAAATAAGTTCATTAAAATGTATGAGATGATAATTATGCTACAAAAAAGGGTGAATGCAATTTTCCAATTAAGTTAAATTAGTAGGGGACTATTGGTATATATGTTTTGTTTCTCCAAGAACATGTTTATAGGTATTAATAAGTTGGTTTTAGGCTGGATGCGGTGGCTCACGCCTGTAATCCCAGCACTTTGGGAGGTTGAGGCGGGTGAATCACAAGGTCAGGAGATCGAGATCATCCTGGCTAACACGGTGAAACCCCAACTCTACTAAAAATACAAAAAATATTAGCCGGGTGTGGTGGCTGGCATCTGTAGTCCCAGCTACTTGGGAGGCTGAGGCAGGAGAATAGCATGAACCCGGGTGGTGGAGCTTGCCGTGAGCCAAGATTGCACCACTGCATTCCAGTCTGGGCGACAGAGTTAGACTCCATATAAAAAAAAAAAAGTTGGTTTTTTGTTTTATTTTGTTTTTTACTTACCTCTGTGCATACTAGGGAAGGAGAAGCAAAAAGCATCTGAAAGGAGGTAGAAATTACACTAAGAACAGCTAGGGACCGTCACCTCAAGGAGCCATAGACAAGAATCAGGTGGATAGAGTGTAAATGGGTTTGCTACATGATGGACTGGTCAAAATTTAGGATGAAGACTGACAGATCAACGTAGCCTTGTATCTCCTAGCAAATAAAACCTATGAAAGACTCAAACAATTTTACAGAGATACAAAAGTTACACAATGACTTAAGTTATACATTGAGGCTAAACATCATGTATTAGTTAGCTAGGGTTGCTGTATCAAAAATACCACACAGTGGGCAGTTTAAAAAATTGAAATTGATTTTCTCCACTTCTGGAGGCTGGAAATCTGAGATCAAAGTGTCAGCAAGGTTGGTTCCTTCTGGGGGCTATGAGGAAGGATGTGTTTCAAGTGTCTCTCCTTGGCTTGTAGGTTGCCTTGGCCTCCCTTTGTCTTCACAGAGATTTCCCTCTGTACATGTCTGTGTTCAAATTTTCTTTTCTTATAAAGACACTAGTCATTAGACTAGGGCCCATCTTAATGATATTATATAATTTAATTACTTCTTTAAAGATTCTATTTCAAATTATGGTTACATTCTGAAGTACTGGGGATTATAACTTCAAATACGGATTTTGGGAGGACACCAGTCAGCCCATAACATACCCCATGACACCCATGTAGTGAAGAAAGAGAGAGAGAGAGAGACACCAGGTTGGACAAAAAAGCATGGCTATGAACATTCTCATTGGCACAATCTGTCGATCTTCATCGTAAGAGAAACCTAGATGATAAATACCTGCTAGCATTTAACTCACTGTGGAAGTCTCAACTGGGTTCTTTGGTTCTGATTAATAGTTGATTGATAATGCAACCATTTCAATTGATTTGCAGTAATTTTTTTGATGTGTGAGAGGTCATTGTATCTGTAAAATGCATTAAATGTATTAACTGACATAAATAAAGAAGAAATTGATTAAATCTATAACATTGACAGTTTTCTGATAGGTTGTATACAGATATAAATATACATTTTATAATTATTGATATAATTTGCGACCATCTTATCTGTTTTGAACTACCTAAGAAAATGTAGCTCTCTTAGACTGTTCAGGCTGCTATAACAAAAAGACCATAAACAGAGAGGCTTATAAACAACAAACATTTATTTCTCATTATGTTTTCCCATGTCCTTCCCTTAACTCTTGTTGATATTCCCTCATGCAACATTATGCCCACATTTTCTCAGAGATGAGCAAAGCATGGGTCTATCCACAAAGAAGGCCTTTATAATAAAACCACAGCATGTCCTTGGCCCCAGAGCTCACTGTTTATGGGAAAATTGATTCAATAAATATAATTCATTAAAAGAGGCTCATAACTTGAGGTATTACTAGAATAATTCAGTGGAATTTGCCTTTGAAAATAGGACTGTATGGGAGGCCAATTCTTAGCCTGAAGGAATTACCTGAGAACAAGACATGACTTCAAATCTACTTTACTAAACAACTCTATTCATGTGACCTAGAGTGTCCTATATATGAAGTCTGTGACCTAAGTCAAGGCATCACTTTATGGGAAACTTGCCCATAGAAATTAATGTCAGTAATCATTATCTTTTGAATATCTTCTGTAGTGCTATTTGATAATCTGTGTACAGCAATCATGGACTATTTCATTTAACTCACAGTATACATATTACTTTCCCAAAGATAAAATCAGAAATTTAATAATACTAATCAGGACTCTAAAAGAGGGACAGAGCAAGATAGCCGAATAGAATCCTCCACCAATTGTTTCCTCTGCAGGAACACCAAATTTGACAAGTATCTATGTAAGAAAATAACCTTCATAAGAACCAAAAATCAGATACTAGCTCAGCCACAAGTGGGGTAGAGCACCAAGCAGCCTCTTGAGATCCCCACTTCCAGGCCTGGCTGTTAGAAGTCATTTCTGGACCCGCCCTGTTACCGAAGGGAGTCCTCTGTCTTGAATGGTGAGTCACAGGCCTAGCAGCCTTTACCACAAGGTGAAGAGTCCTTGGACCTGAAGCGAACAGCAGAGGTAGCCTGACAGTACTCTTTGTGCACCTGTGGTGGTGGCGGCCATGGGGAAAGGCTCCTCTGCCTGTGCAAAGGAGAGAGAAGAATGGGAAAGTCTTTGTCTCGTGGTGTCAGTTCCAGCTTAGTCATAGTAGTATAGGGCACCAGGTAGATTTCTAAGGTTTTTACTCCAGTCCTTGGTTCCCAGATGGCATCTCTTGACCCACTTGGGATCTGGGGTAACTCACTGCCCTAAAGGGAAGGACACAGACATAGCTGGTATCACCACCTGCTGATTGTAGAGCCCCAGGACCTGGAGAGAACATAGGCTGTATAGTCAGGGAGTGGTTCCAGCAGGTCTTGGGCAAGATCCAGGGCTGTGCTGGCTTCAGGTCTGACTCGGCACAATTCGAGTGGTGGTGGCCACAGGGGAACTTGTGTCACCCCACCCCCAACCCCAGCACAAGGAGAGAGACTCTGTTTAGGAGAAAGTAAGGGAAGAGAACAAGAGTATCTGTCTTGTAATCCAGAGAATTCTTCCAGATGTTTTCCAAGACTACCAAGGCAGTACCTCTACGGTTCTGCAAGAAACACTGCATTACTGGGCTTGGGGTACCCTCTAATAGAGAGATGGTTTAGATCATGACACTCAAGTCTCTTTGAATACCTGGAAAGCCTTCCCAAGAAAGATGGGTACAAACAAGCCAAGACTGCAAAGACTACGATAAATACTGAACTCCTCCTTGCAGACATGGACAAACATCTGAAAGTATCAAGGCTATCCAGGAAAACATGAGCTTACCAAACAAATAAAATAATGCCCCAGGAACCAATCCTGGAGAAACAGAGATATGCAACCTTTCAGAAAGAGAATTCAAAATAGCTGTTTTGAGGAAACTCAAAAGAAACTCAATATAACAGAGAGAAAGAATTCCAAAATCTCTCAGATAAATTTAACCAAGATATTGAGATAACAAAAAAGAATCAAGTGGAAATTCTGGAGTTGAAAAATGCAATTGATATACTGAAGAATGTATCAGTGTCTCTTAATAGCAGAATTGATCAAGCAGAAGAAAGAATTAGTGAACTTGAAAACAGGCCATTTGAAAATAGAGAGTCAAAGGAGACAAAAGAAAAAAGAGTAAAAACCAGTGGCCTACAAGATCTACACAATAGCCCCAAAAGGGCAAATCTAAGAGATTTTTTGGCCTTAAAGAGGAGGTAGAGGAAGAGATAGAGGAGAAAATTTATTCAGTCGGGCATAATAACAGAGAACTTCCTAAACCTAGAGAAAAATATCAACATTCAAGTATAAGAAGGTTATATAAAACCAAAGAAGACTACCTCAGAGCATTTAATAATCAAAGTCGCAAAGGTCAATAATTTTTTTTAAAAAAAGGGATCTTAAAAGCAGCAAGGGAAAAGACACAAATAAAATACAATGGAGCTTTAATATACCTGGGAGTACTTTCACTGCTGTTGCTCAACATAGTTGAGCTTGCTCTACAACTGAAAGTACTAGCTAGAGCAATCAAAGAAGATAAAGAAGTAAAGGACATTCAAATTGAATAGAAAGAAGTCAAATTATTCTCGTTTGCAGATGACATGATCTCATATTTGAAAAAACCTAAAGACCACCAAAAAACTATTAAAACTGATAAATTTAGTAGACTTGCAGGATACCAAATCAACGTACAAAAATCAGTGGCATTTCAATATTCTAACAGCAAACAATCTGAAAAATAAATCAAGAAAAGAATTTCATTTACAATAGGTACAAATAAAATTAAATACCTAGGAATTAGCTTAACTAAAGAAGTGGAAACTCTTTACAGTGAAAACTATAAAACATTGATGTAAGAAATTAAAGAGGACACAAAATTTCTAAGATATCCTAATTTCATGGATTGATAAAATGTTCATACTACTAAAGCAATCTACTGATTTAATGCAATCCCTATAAAAAAATACTAATGACATTCTTCACAGAAATAGAAACAAAATCCTAAAATTGATACGGAACCATCAAAGACCCAGAATAGCCAAAGCTATCCTGAGCCAAAAGGACAAAACTGGAGGAATCATATTACCTGACTTCAAATTATGGTACAGAGCTGTAGTAACCACAACAGCATGGTATTGACATAAAAACAGATATATAGACCAATGAAAAAGAATCGACAATCCACAAACAAGTCCATCCATCTACAGTGAACTCATTTCTGACAAAGGTGCTAAGAATATATACTGGAAAGAGGACAGCCCCTTCAATATGTGGTGCTGGGAAAACTGAATACCCATATGCAGAAGAATGAATCTAGACTCTTATCTCTTGCTATATACAAAAATCTAACCAAAATGGATTAAATACCTAAAGATAAGACCTCAACAATGAAACTACTCAAAGAAAACATTGGGGCATCTCTCCAGGACATTGGATTGGGCAAAGATATCTTGAGTAATACCCCAAAAGCACAGGCAACCAAAGCAAAAATGGACATATGGAGTCACATGAAGTTAAAAAGCTTCTGCACAGCAAAGGAAACAAAGTCAAGAGACAAACGACAGAATGGGAGAAAATATTTGGAAACTATCCATCTGACAAGGGATTAATAACCAGAATACATAAGGGGCTCAAACAACTCTTACAGGAAAAATAAATCTAACAATCCGATTTAAAAATGGGCAAAATATTTGGATAGACATTTCTCAAAAGAAGACATACAAATGGCAAACAGAAAAATGAAAAGATCCTCAACGCCATTGATCATCAGAGAAATGGAAGCCAAAATTAGAATGAGATACCATCTCACTCCAGTTAAAATGGGTTTTATCCAAGAGACAGGCAATAACAAATGGTAGAAGGGATGTGGAGAACAGAGAACCTTCATACACTGTGAATATAAATTAGTGCAACCACTATGGAGAACAGTTTGGAGGTTCCTCAAAAAACTAAAAATAAAGCTATTAGATGATCCAGCAGCCCCATGCTAGGTATATACCCAAAAGAAAGGAAATCAGTCTCTCAAAGAAATATCTTCACTCTCATGTTTATTGCAGCACTATTTAGGATAGCCAAGATTGTCCATCAACAGATGAATGGGTAAAGAAAATATGATATTTATACACAATGGAGTACTATTCAGCCATAAAAAAGAGTAAGAATCGGCCAGGCACGGTGGTTCACGCCTGTAATCCCGGCACTTTGGGAGGCCGAGGCTGGCAAATCATGAGATCAGGAGATCCAGACCATCCTGGCTAATGCGGTGATACTCCGTATCTACTAAAAATACAAAAAATTAGCTGGGGGTGGTGGCAGGCACCTGCAGTCCCAGCTACTCAGGAGGCTGAGGCAGGAGAATGGCATGAACCTGAGAGGCGGAGCTTGCAGTGAGCCAATATCGCCACTGCACTCCAGCCTGCGTGACAGAAGGAGACTCCCTCTCAAAAAAAAAAAAAAAAATGAGAATCTGTCATTTGCAGTGACATGGATAGAACTAGAGGTCATTATGTTAACTGAAATAAGTCAGGCACAGAAAGACAAATTTCACATTTCTCACTTACTTGTGGGAACTTAAAATAATTGAACTCATGAAGATGGAGGGTAGAAGGATGGTTGCTAGAATCTGGGAAGAGCAGTGAAGGGATATGGGTGGAGTTGGGATGGCTAATGGGTAAAAAAAAATAGAAGAAATGAATAAGACTTATTATTCGAGAGCACAACAGGGTGACCATTACCAATAATAATTTAATTGTACATTTTAAAATGACTAAAAGAGTATAATTAGATTGTTTGTAACACAAAGGATAAATTCTTGAGGTGATGAATTCACCCTGATGTAATTATTCTGCATTGCCTGTCTGTTCCAAAATCTCATGTACCCCATAAATATCTACTTCTACTGCATACCCACAACAATTAGAAATATAAAATTAATATAAATAAAAACTAAAATAAAATACTAATCATTTCTGAGTTTATCTGAAATTCAAATACTTATCTTAAATGCTATAAATCTAGTGACTTTTAACTAAAATACACTGTTTTTTACCCCTCGAATCTTAGTTACCCATTTGTGAAATAAATATGACACCTACTCACGAGACCCTTGTCGAGTTCAATTATATTTATATAGAAGGAAGGCACTCCTCTTTCCATGGTGAGACCCAGGATGGCTGGGTGTTTTCAGTCTTCTCTTCCCAAAACCTCAGTTTTGAATATATTTTTGAGTATAATTATATTTACATTTATCTGTATACAACTATGAATGTTGGAGGTGAAGTCAATTCCGTCTCTCAGTCTTAAATGAGGCCCATTGTGGATGGATGGTGACATGGCCACCCTCTTCCCTTTCGACGTGGCATGTGATCAGGGTCTAGGTTTGCTATTGCTCAGGGTAGGGTTGCCAGATTAAGCAAGCAAAAACTTAACACGCCCAGTTAAATTTAAATTTCAAGTAAACAAAAATTTTCTGTTGTATGCTTCATAAAATATTTTGGGCATATTCATAAAAAAATTGTTTATCTCAATTTTTTTTTTTCTGGCAACCCTAATCATAAGCCTGGGGACTAGAATCAGCAGCTGTTACTAGAGCCAGAGTCTTCTTGGCAAGAAATGGACAAGTCAGCAATTAACAGGACAGCTCTCAGAATTTGGGACAGGCACTGAGGGCCAGTCTCAAACATAAAGAAAAGGAAAAGACAGGCACAAAGAATGTGACTATACATCCCAAGCCCCATAGAAGACTTGGGAGGATTCTTTCCTCCCATTTGATTTTCCTCTTTCATTTAGGGAAACAAGCAAACAATTCTATTTTTCTGTTTACCTCAAATTTGGGAACTCTCTAGATTGACATTAATGCAACTATTTTTTTTTTTCTGTTTTAGGGTCACATGCATTCACAATACACTAAAATGTGAGAAAAGGATATCTTTATTTTCTTTCTAGTCTTTCTCAGAAGCCCCCATTTCACTGGGTGATGGAGAAAAATCTAAATTTAGTCCAGTCTGGCAAACAATTCTATCTAATAATGCAAGTGATCTTTTGGGGATAATGCAGCTTTATAGACTTAAATGTTTGATTTTTTTTTCAGATGCTTTCTCTAATATTCGTATTTCTCAGGTACCCTGGTACCATGTTGAAGAGAACTCCAAAACGATAGAGTTTATCACCTCAGAGTCCTGCCTGGAACAACAATCACTGATTAACTTTGAGTTCTGTTACAGACCCTGTGTAGTGAGGTGAGTATTAAAGTCAGGCTTTGATAAAAGGATGAATAATTTCATGAGTTTCTGTAGATTCAGCAGGGACCAGAAGCCAGCGGAGCTGACTTGCCGTATGACTGAGGTGGAGAGATTCAGGCTATGACAGAGTGAAGGCTGAAATGTGCTTCTTCTGGCCTCAGCAACATTTGGAAAAGAGCTCAGTGACAGAAATAGATACAGGAATTGAGATAATGGGGGCCTCGTTTCTCCTCAGCTTGGGATGTGTACTGGGAAACAAGGAAGTTTTAAAAAGATTCAGGAAGGTTTGGGGAAGTCAGAACGTGGGGGAAATGGATGACATCCTTCTCCAGGCCACCAGTCCGGGAGAAGCACTCCACAAGGACACCTTCAACATAGGCAGAGGTGAGGTAGAATTACCTGTGGGACAGAGATGATGTAGAACTATCTGTGGAGGGAGGGGGCTGGACAGTGGGCCTGAGGCAGTATGAGCAGCTCCCCAGACCTGGGAGAGTGTTAAAGGGATCCAGAAATCTCCCACTGAGATGAGGGGAGGATGGAACATTTCTGATTGGGCTGGTGGTCCAGCAGACTCTCAGAGTCATGATGTAAAAGAGGCTGCAGTGTGGGGAAGCATGGTCTCTCTGCAGAAAAGCCACAACCTTGTACTCCAGACATGGGCATTCTCATGTTGACCCTGGAGAGGTCTTAAGTCTAGTGAGCACATCAGACTGATTATCGGTTGAAACAGTGCAGACTCAGATTGACAGTGCATGGGTTTACATGACCCTCTTGCTTGCTGTCTTCAAACACCTCTTGCCTGAGTGTCTGTGCATTTGTTCTTTCTTCTCTCAAGGATACCTTTTATTTTCCTCTTCACTCCTGTGCTTTCTTAGCCTTTAGATCATTATTCCAGTTGCCTCTTCCTAGAAGACCTCCAGGACCACCACCTGCAGTATATTAAGAGACTTCTCTTCTTACTTTTCCTGCTTGTCTATTTTCCGTCCTCCACCATATAAGTTCCATGATGTCAGGGCTCTTTCTGTTTGGTTAATTTCTTCATCTTGTGATCGACTGCAAGTTTGTGTGCCCCTCAAATTAATATGCTGAATCCCTGAACCTCAATGGAAAAGTATTTATAAGTGGGGCCTTCGGAAGGTAATTAAATCACAAGGGTGGAGTTCTCATGATGAGATTAGTGCCCTCATAAGAAAAGACAGGAGAGAGCTTCCTCTCTCTGTCATTTGCTCTCTCTGTCTCTGTCTCTCTCTCTCTCTCTCTCTCTCTCAATCTTTCTCTCTCTCTCTCTCTCTCTCTCTGTCTCCCCCTCTCTCTCTGTCATATGAAAATGCAGTGAGGAGACAGTTGTCTGTAAACTGGGAAGACGGCCCTCACCAAACTCTACCACGCAGCCTTCTGACATTGATCTTCTTGACTACAGAAGGGTGAGAAATAAATTTCTGTTGTTTAAGCTACCCAGTTAATGGTATTATTATTATAGCAGCCAAACTGACTAAGATATATCTTCAGTGCCTAGCACATAATGGGAATTCAATCAATATTTGTTAAAAAATGAAAGTTATTCCATTAATCTCCTCCCATATCTACTGTCATTATTATATTGTCCCATCATGAACTGGGCCCCTACTATATGTTGGCACCATACTCAACCATTCATTTAAATTATTTCTTATGGTTGAAATGCCCTGTTACATTGCACAAATAGAGAAACCAGGGCTCGGGTGAGTTCATTTTGCCTGAAATTTTCAGATTAAATGTTAGTGAGTAGGAGAGTTAAGAATAGACTCAGATACTTCAAATTTTAAAGTTTTCTATTATGTTACCATGTCTTTCAAATAACAAAAATAATGTTTTCAGTTTACAAGGTGCTTTGCTTTATTTTGGAAAATGTGGGGTGAATTGGAAAGAGCACTATTAACATTTTACTCTGGATAATTCCTTGCTGTAGGGTGTTCTTCTGTGCACTGAAAGATGGTTATCAGTATTCCTGGCCTCTATCCACTAGGTGCCAATAGTATAAATGGTCCCCTTCCCCAGCTGTGACAATCCCAAATCTCCAAACATTGCCAAACATCTCGTGGAGGCACAATTAATCCCAATGGAGCAACAGTGGTTTAAACTGACACCATTTGCGTGATTTTGGTCAGTTTATTTATATCTGTGAGCTCAGTCCCTTCCACCACAGAGCAGGAATTACAGTATTTGCCACCCACACTACAAAGCTCATCAGGCCAATCTGCCAGGTGAGATGAAAGGGAATCACCACAGATAGAGAGCCCATTGTATGTAAGGCATCACTCCTGCATGTTTTCTTGTTTAGTCCACCCCACATTCTTATGAAGTCCATATTATCTCTTTTTTACATATGAAGAAAGTGAGGTTCAGAGAAGTAAAGTGCTTAAAGTCACAGATTCAGCAGGTCTGAGGGAGCAGTCACACTTCACAGTAAGTGCACTGGAAAAATGTGACTGGTCAACTCTAACCTACGATATGTGTGGAAAATATGACAGACTACTACACTTGGTTAATTGGTCAATATTATTAACCTGCAATAAGACAAACAACAGCAACAAAATATGTATATATAATCATACATATATAATTTTATATTATATATAATTTTATTATATATAATATATAATTATATAATTACAACAGTAAAAATTCCCAAAAACCATAAAAGCAGTTAAAAACAAAAGTTTGAAGTATTATACATTATATATGTAATTATATAATGACAACAGTAACATTCTTGAATTTATATATAAAATTTTCTTTGGCCATAGTGGAAAAGAAAGTGGGAATATTAGTATACGCCCTGAATTTTAAAACTTGTGTAGACATTCTTTAATTTTCTTTATGACTATGAAAATAAACATTGTACCTTCACAGAAAGGAAACGATCCATAGATACCATTAAAAAACACAGATGAACCACTTATACAATAGCATTTTATTCTCGTGAAAGAGCAAGGTGATGTCCAACACTAGAATTTATCACATTAGTGTAATTTCATGGAGCATCGACACTTCAAACTTTTGTTTTTAACTGCTTTTATGGTTTTCGGGAATTTTACTGTTGTCATTGTTTTTTACATAAATGTACTTGGTGTTCTCTGTAGGGACTGAGCAGGAAGAAGTTATATTGTTTTGGGAGAGAGAGACTACTGGGTGAAAGGGAAGAAGGAAGGAAGAGGCAGACAGTACGAAAACCGTTCCAGCTGGGCACGGTGGCTTACACCATTAATCCCTACACTTTGGGAGGCCGAGGTCGGCGGATCACTTGAGGTCAAGAGTTCGAGGCCAGCCTGGCCAACATGGTGAAATCCTGTCTCTACTAAAAAAATACAAAAATTAGCTACTCATGGTAGTGTGTGCCTGTAATCCCAGCTACTTGGGAGGCTAAGGCAAGGGAATTGCTTAAACCCAGGAGGCAGAGGTTTCAGTGAGCTAGGATCCAGCCTGGGTGACAGAGCAAGACTCCATCTCAAAAAAAAAAAAAAAAAAAAGGCACAGGTGGAGAAGCCATAAGACAACATCCTTTTTCTCTATGAGAGAAAAAAGTGACTTTTAAAGTACATTGCTTTAAAGTTCATAGGGAACCAAAAAAGAGCCCGCATTGCCAAGACAATCCTAAGCCAAAAGAACAAAACTGGAGGCATCACGCTACCTGACTTCAAACTACAAAAAAGCATGGTACTGGTACCAAAACAGAGATATAGACCAATGGAACAGAACAGAGCCCTCAGAAATAATACCACACATCTACAGTCATCTGATCTTTGACAAACCTGAGAGAAACAAGAAATGGTGAAAGGATTCCCTATTTAATAAATGGTGCTGGGAAAATTGGCTAGCCATAAGTAGAAAGCTGAAACTGGATCCTTTCCTTACTCCTTATACGAAAATTAATTCAAGATGGATTAGAGACTTAAATGTTAGACCTAAAGCCATAAAAACCCTAGAAGAAAACCTAGGTAATACCATTCAGGACATAGGCATGGGCAAGGACTTCATGTCTAAAACACCAAAATCAATGGCAACAAAAGCCAAAATAGACAAATGGGATCTAATTAAACTAAAGAACTTCTGCACAGCAAAATAAACTACCATCAGAGTGAACAGGCAATCTACAGAATGGGAGAAAATGTTTGCAATCTACTTATCTGACAAAGGGCTAATATCCAGAACCTACAAAGAACTCAGTCAAATTTACAAGGAAAAAAAGCTAACAACCCCATCAAACAGTGGGAAAAGCATATGAACAGACACTTCTCAAAAGAAGACATTCATACAGCCAACAGACGCATGAAAAAATGCTTATCATCACTCACCACCAGAGAAATGCAAATCAAAATACATAGACCAGGGAAACCCAAGCCTACCTTTTTAAGGGAACTTCATGTAGTTTGGAGACTTTTTTGACTTCTGTGAATTGTATCAACAGCTTTCCTGGTTCTCAGGGGATAACTATCTTCTACAGAAAAATCTTTCTTTTCTGTAGATAGAACAATCTCTCTCTCTCTCTCTCTCTATATATATATATGTAAATACATATATATATACACACACACTCATTATATAATCACTCTTTATATGTTTCTCAGTTGGGCTCTGAGCGCTGCAGCTTGTCTCCGTTATCTGGAAGCTGATTGCATGCCCCCCTTCTCTCCCTGGCACAGCAGCTGGGAGCAACTTGCACATGACCAGGCTTTATCATTTTACATTGGAAAGAAAATGTTTCCATCAAGGATATCAGTGAAGCCTCATGTTCAATCTTTTGCGAAGTCCGGACAAGGGGAAACGTTGTTAGTTTTTTCTTAACCAGAAGAACATAGAAGCCAGAAGAGACAGTGCTGAACTATTGTCTCCTCAATCAGTTTCCGGTGGAGGAAAGTGAGGCTCAGGGAGGTAAAAGTGACTGCCTCAACTGGTTCATCAGCACCAGTGGCAGTGCCATAAGGAAACACCAGGCCTCCCATAACCACTCAGCGTCA